TAATACATTTGTCTTTAAGTAGATGCTGTTTTTATCGTTTAGTGTTAGGCCTCTGCTTTCTGGGTTGGACAGGCAGAGGGGGAGAGACCGTGACAAAGGCTGATACAATAGTGTAAAAGAGACGGGGCGCAAAAGGAAGATAAACAAGAGGAAGCTGTTTTAGTTCTCCCTTTTTTTAGTTCATCTTGGTTCAATGTGTGTTCCTGGCATGAATGTATAGAACAATATCATCAAAGCAACGAGATGAAAGAATGTTTTAACATAAAATCCCTTTCAGCTCTTGCATGCGTGAGTGTGTTTGTGTCAGTGCCTTTGCGAGGGAGGATCTGAATTGCTTTGAATTAAGATATTTCATCACATCAGTATCGATAGTGCATGTGGAGGTTTACCACATGATTCATGATCCACATACATATTTCAATGAACAAAATAAATTGTATTACTTACAAGCAACGGTTTTACACCCTCCCATACATCCTGTTGCTCCAGTGTGGGATTATGGACAGCATGCCAGCATCACAGTATCAAAAGAGGCGTGACGGGTGTGACATGTAACACCACAGCATAGGCCTCTAGTGTGACCTTTAACCTATCCGTCAGCAGCGCTTTATAAACAATAGCAATGGCATAACATGGCTAAAACAATCATATAACCTCTCTGTTATATGGCACCTGGTCTCATCCTCTGCGTGGAGGGTAAAAAGCTTTCTGACCTCTTTGTTTTCCCAATTTGCAAACATTTTCTGCTGCTGTTCTTCTTTTCTTTGAGTTAGCCACTAACTGCTATCAGCTACTTTTTAAACCTCCCGCAGCTGGTTGCACAAGTAATACGTCATTAAAACATCACACCTGTGCTGCCCATGATCTCATCCTGCCTGCTGTCCCTTTTATATAGACATCGTTTCAGCGCTTAAAGGCGAGACAACTGTCCCCCCATTCTGTGATTGTACCTTTAATACAGAACGGCAAGGTGGCATAATGATGTAAAATTCCCGCCTTGAGGAGGCAGTGTAAAAGGAGCTATTGATCCTTTGGACCCCTTGGGGATCCCCTGTAAAAATGGCACTGACAGATCTTCAACTTTTAAAATGATTGTGGAAACCTATTTACATATCACATACAGAGCAAAATAAGCATGCATTTGAAGTTATGTTTTTGGCCACCTTGTGGATATAAGTCTAATATTCACTTTCTTTTTAGTGCTTTTTGGGCTCCACTAATTTTTGAGAAGAATATCAGGCAAGGTGATAAATGCTTCATGTTGTTTACCAGCTTGTTGCTAACACTGTCTGTCTGTGATTCATTTCAAATATCATCATGCAGCCATCCAATCTATTGCTAAAATAGACATTTCATAACTGTTCCTTTAGGTCACCTTACCAGGAAGAATTTGAGGGTCAGCAGCCTGCTTGTCACACTCATTACCTATAAACACAAGGATAACCAAAGGAGTTCCAGTTGGTTTTGTTTGGCACTTTATTTCATTTTCAGTCAAAACGGATGCATTTAGTTGGTACGTCTTTCCAGGTTTTGGTAATGTAATTACTGGCATCTAAGAGCATACCATGTGTGGTTCCACGGATGCAGGTTGTTGAGTAAGACTGTAAAAAAGGGTAATTTATTTGTTCATTTGTCCGCCTCTCACATTGTTGGTTTTTATTCATTGTTTTCACAGTTTGTATTGACAAAATTAATACTGGCTGTGATGTGGTGCACAAAGAATTCTAGATAAATGTGAAGGGTTCATAAAAGGCTAGATGACATGTGTGTGAGACAAAGGGATAGATGGGAGAGAGAGCCACACGAGCATACAAGAAAAGGTAACTGAATCACTGGAGGAGAAAACAAGATGCTGTAGGCTGGAGATAGATTGATGACGAAGAGAGAAACTGAAAGATGGATGGATGGATAAAAGGCTTTCCAGGCCTCTAGTTCAATGCTCAGTGGTCTTGGTTAGGTCAATGCTTTAAAAAAAAAAAATCCTTGTGTCCCCTGTATGACACACACACGCACACTCGCACACACACTGTACTGATGGGATAAGTGGTTTAGATCCACTTAAATGAGAGGTTATAGTTAGGGGACAATGGGTGAGTCCTGTGTGTTTGTGTGTGTGGGAGAGAAAGAAAGAAAGAGAGATCAATGAGGTCTTTTGTGTCTAGAGGTGAACTTGAGAGAACACACACAGCAAGGCCTACACACACACACACACACACACACACACACACACACGAAACAATTACTATCACCTTGAACAGATTTTAGGACCGCAAGTCCAGAATGATGTTGAAAACACCTTGCGTCACACACATCATAACAAACTTCAAAGTTTGTTCTTTTTTATTTCATTAGATGATTATGCTCAAGGCTCATACTGTCACAAGTAACACCATAACACCAGGATGCAGTGCATTATCTCTATCCTTCAACATTGCTACAATGAAAACAACTCACATTTTCTCAACACAGTTCATGGAGCCTGCCCGTCTTGTAAGCTATTGTTTCAGCTCTTTTCTTGCACACATGATCCATGTCAGAGCTGCATCTTAATTGGATCAGGTGTGCAAACACAAGGCAGAAGTAAACCTTGCAGAAAAACTAGGCCTCAAAATGGGGTTTAGAAACACTGCATCTGTCTCTAAAATAATATTTCATCATGTATTTTTTTTATTTGGAGTCATGTCTCTGGGTACCTCATGAATGTAAGTCCAATATTCGCTCTATTGTAAGCGATAACAAAGGGAAATATCTGACTTTATAGCTGCTAAATGGTCCACTATGTCCACCTGCTAGTTGCTAACTTATGTCTGCTGTTTGGCTTTTTTTTTTGTTTTGTTTTGTTTTTTTAATAGCTTGTTAAAAAAACACAAACATACAGAAAAACAGCTGCAAACCAGAACAAAGAGCTGAAAGATGATAGCACGGTATGTAGAGCTAACAAAAACGGCCAAAACAGGTGATAATTGTTGATAAGTGTTTGTCCCAATCACGTAGTGTTACTAATTTAATCCATTGCCAACAATAACATAGATTAATGTACCTTTAAATGTATTTCCTAAGGACCAAAAAGGAAAAAACGAATTAGCCTAATCCTTGAAAAAAGCTACGCTCTGGTTTGAATGGAAAATAGTCACAAGCTACTCTATTTTGTTGCAAATATAACTACTAGCTTGTTTTGTACCCAAATTTGCAAGTAGTTACTCTATTCTATGAAATTTAGCTACTAGCTACTCTCTGTTTTGTACCAAATGTAACTACAAGCTACTCTGTGTTTTGTACCTAATTTAGCTACTAGCTACTTTGTGTTTTATACTAAATTTAGCCACAAGCCACTCTGTGTTTTGTACCAAATATAGCTACTAGTTACTCTGTGTTTTGTACCAAATATAGCAACTAGTTACTCTCTCTTTTGTACAAAATTTAGCTACTAGCTACTCTCTGTTTTGTGCAAAATTTTTCTCTGAGCTACTCCCTGTTTAGTATCAAATCTATTAACTAATCTCTGTTTCATATCAAATTAAGCTATGAGCTACCCTCTATTGGGTGCTAAATTAGGCTATGAGCTACTCTTTGTTTTGTATCAAATTTAGCCACTAGCTACTCTCTGTTTTGTACAGATATTAGCGACGAGCTGCTCTTTTTAAAGCCTAATTTAGCAACAGGCTACTCTCTGTTATGTACCCAATTTAGCTATTAGCTACGGTCTGTTTTGTACCAGATTTAGCTATTAGCTAGTCTACTGGCTACCGACTTTGCTGTGAAGCTAAAATTACACTCCCAAAGAGTAAGTCATGACTACTGATTACGTTAAACGTAATTGCAAACATTTTGTCAGCATTTGATTAGCACTAGCATATTGTAAGCAATTAAGGCGCTGTCAGGATGTCATTATTCACTACAGTAGCTCTGGTAGATTTAGCTCTGTCAAATGCTTGTGCAGTGTATGGAATGAAACAACTGAGATCTACCATTTACTAAATGTAGGAAAATGAGGGCTTAATGTAGCTCCTTCATTATCAAAACATCTCCCTCACCAGGAAAGCACAGGTGTAAATACAGGTAAGGCAATTAACGATGGCTGTCATGGCTTGCTTGGACACTTGAATAAACCAGCGCCACCATTGTAAATGTAATTAGCAACACCTGTGCTTTTCAGTTGCATGTCATGGTAGGAAAAGTCAGGTGTGGATAAAGGCCCATGGAGTCTGATGACACAATTCCAAGCTAGTTGCTTAACAATGATTGGCTTTTTTTTTTTTTTTTTTTTTTATACTCAACCAATGACAGAGGATCCATCTGTAGGCTCTGATTTAAGCACCTCTGGCTCTGTGCTCAGCTTTGATTGGCATCAGATTTAACAACTTTACTTAGAGATGAAGTGAGCACAGTTAGTCAGCTTTGTGCATTTGGTTAACAATGGATTACAGTAATGATGAACACCAAGATTTTTTTCTTAAAATTAGAAATTACTGGCCATTTAATGAAACCAAATACTAACATTTACCCTTTGCCAAACGGACAAACCCTGACATTTTAAACCTCAACGTGGAAGAAGACTAATCCTTCAAAACAAGCCTTTCTGGACAAAATACGTTAGATAAAACAAATACTCCATTGCGCAGACATTGCCTAAAGATGTACCTTTACAGAATTTCATTTTTTATGAAATTGTGTTTTGTTTGTGTGTGTTAGAGGTTGCACAACCCATAATTTCTTCTGGGCGCCAATTCCTTCAATGTTGTCAAATAAACACTGAGATGTCAGAGGACCTATAATTTCACCAAAATACCCACAACAGTGCCAGACAATCCACCCAGCATTTTCACCATGAAAACAGCTCTTACATTGTGTCACACAGAGTTCCTGTTTTGGACAAATGGAGGAATGACTCATGCCACTATTGTTGACTCTTGTAAAAATTAAAGTTTAAATGTCTGCTTTTGTCAGTAGAGGAACATGATGATTTTTTTCCCCCAACAATGTGTTTGTAATCTCTTCAGGAACTCGACATACTGCATGAAAGTGTCCATGTCGATGACCGTGGAGGAGAGTGACGAGGGTAAATGCTTCAGCAGCAAAATCCGACATTTGGAGAAAGCTGAGATAACCCATAGCAAAATGATCAACTGTCCTGATATAGAAGACTATTTGGCCCCGTACAAGCAGCCACAGATGACTTGGTATAAGGTACGACACAAGCAAACAGTTTAGAGTAACATTACCTAAGTATACTGCAGACTGTTGTACTTGATCTTTCTGTGTTTCTTTATCAGGAGTGTGAACGGGTTGAATGGAGAAGCTCCATCACTGTTAACACTACACACATCTGGATTCCTGAGGTGGAGGAAGGTGACGGGGGAAATTACACTTGTGAGTTACAATATGGATCCAGACTGGTGCGGCGGACAACACAACTCAAAGTTACAGGTAGGACACGGGGCATAGATGGATAGATGGATGGTCACACACATACATGCATATGCACGCACACATATGCATGCACACGCACACACACACACACACAAGTCCATCTATACTTAAAATTGGACTCGTGTATGATGACATTTAATGACGTTATTTGTTAAATTCCTCTTGCGTTTTAATTGTTTAGTTTGTTATATAGCACTTTTTAAGTGTGTTTTGAAATGTGCTATATGAATAGAGTTTATCCATTACTATTATTATGAATTCCCCCCACAGACATATTTTATACTTAAACCAATACTCATATTTGAACATGGTTTTCCTCAATTTTTTTAGTTAAAAATAGGCTTCCAAAAAGGGCTGTAAGCAGATCTACTCATTCTCCCTCATTGAGAAATTCTGGACTTATCCACCCCAGCCACTACGGCTGCTGGTCGTAGCTAAAGATTTTGTTTTTTCTTCTTGATTTTCAATATCTCCAGCACTGTTGGCGCTTGGTTGACTAGTGAAAGAGCAGTGCGCATCAAGGTGGCTAGCATTAGCGTGAGAGGAAACATCAGAGACATTTGGTCATATATGTTGGAGCCTCGGTCAGACCCAGACTCAGATGAGGAATCTGTTGTGCACCAAATTGTTGTAGTTAGCATCTTGTATTTGTTTATGGTTTTGTGTGCTTGTTAGCTTGTAGTCTAACTGGCAATGACTGACACAGCATTTGTTTTTTCAAACATACAATTTTACCTGCTACATTGGCATTTTTGGTAGATATTAGAAGCAAACTCCAGGGTCCAGTTTACCTCTGAAAACTGCACACTGTTGTCAACACTTTCACGATGCTAATGCTAACTTTGTCTCTCTGAACTGACAAGTCTGCTCTGCCCTGGAGGTTTCAGGTTTCTTTGCTTATGTTATGTCAAAATTTGTTCCCCCATCAATATGTCTTTCCTGTTTTAGATAGCGATTTGCTTTTGTATCAGCTGGCCCAGCATACATTTGTACCTCAGATTATAGAAGAGTGCACAGACATCATCCCCTTCAGTAGAAGAATTTAAAAACACCTCTGAAGTGTCAAACTTTGAACAGATACAAGTCAGGTTCAGACATTTTAGGGGGCATAAACACAAGAAAAACATCTGTTTGAGTCGAGGGGGACTTAAAGCATTGTGGTTTGAGAAATATCAGTAATTATAAGATATGGAAAGAAAACAAAATGTATTTGAAGTATACATTTAAGAAAGCAAAAAGTGTTTTGGCATGCAATGGCAACATGAGAAGAGCAGATATCCTCAATACCAGAAATTATGACTTAAAGTTTATTGAATTTCAAATTTTTCAACAACACCAAACCACTTCAAAAGGCAAAAATAACAAAGTACCCAAACAACACCAGACAGAAGACAGGGGAAAAAAACGATAAGGATGGGCTTATACTAATAGATAAAATAGAAGCAAATAAACCTTATGATAAAAACAATAAACTGAGGGAAATCAAATAACAATATTAACATGACATGTAAGTAAACTTGTCAGATTCCATTTATTAAATGCCCACTCACAGTTCATAAAAGGTAAGTGTCAGAATAGTATCCATGTAATAATGTCCGTATAGATATTTATTTCAGCTGCGCCATTGCCACATCCACCCTCCTGCATTCATTACAATCCCAACAAGAGCTGTAAGCACCATGGACAAAATGTCGCTGTAATCACTCCCCCTATGCTCAGACAAGTGTGTTCACTGGCCCCCCTGTAGTGAGTGGAACCGCAGAAACATCCCCTATTTATTATTATATTTTTCTACCTCATTTATTAGGCTATAGGATATTCTCTCAAAAGCTGCCACTTGCCTATTTCTGAGATCCATTCTTGAAATAATGGGCCATCTACAGCTTTCCACTTTCTCAATATCATCTGTTTACCAATCATAATACTGTTCTGAATCCAATTTACTAGGGTTATTACAATGTGGTCAACAGGTTGAGGATTTCCAAGTATATATACACCAGGACACTTAATGCAAGAAATAATGTATGGTGTCTGTCTGCATGGATTGGTGGATTGATCAATGAAAAATGGGATGGGATAGGGACTGATACCATGTGATGACATGAGTTGGAGCAGGACACTCCACGATAGAATGAGAAAGCATTGAATGGGCATGAACATGACAGGGGAGGATAGGATTGGATAGTAAGGGACTGATGATAATAAAATTACGGCAAGCCTCTAGTTACTGAACTGGACCTAAGAAACTTTCAGGAGACCCTCTCCAGAGGAGCTTAGGCTGCAGTCCTGCTCATAAAGGGTCAGGAGTTCATATATCTATTTGGGGCTTCGCCTAAATTCTGAAAGCCAGTGAAGGGAGGCTAAAAAAGAGGTGATGTGGCCATGCTTGCTTGTATTTGTTAAGCTCCTTGCTGCTGCGTTGTGGAGCAACTGCAAACGAGAGAGAGAACTCTGGCATAAACATGAATAAATGAAGTAACAGTGTATAACTCTTGCCAGGTCAGGAGATTAAACATTTCTCTCATGTTTTTTTGAATGGAGAAAGCAGGGCTACACAACCTTGATGATTTGAATGTCATAAAACTGAGGTCAGACTACCAGGTAACATTTTTGGACAACTGCCATGGTTATTAGGATTGCACTGAATGGTGTTAGGGGGACTGAATAATGTGATCTTCTGATTTATTGTCATTTAGCTGACCATTTAATCTTGTCCAGGTTGTCAGTGACAGTAACAGGATTGCAAATTTCACCAAGTGTTATTGTTACTTACAGCTGGGTGTCAGTGGTGTAAGAATGAAAATTTATATTTGCAAATGATGTCCTAAAGAGCATCAGAGACAGAAAACGATAGGGACTTAAAAATGAGCCCTGCGTCACACCACTAGTGAGAAAGGTGGTAGAGAAAGATGAATGACCAAGAGTAATAGTGAATGTTTTGTATTTTTCCTCTGTTCTATGATGGGATATGATGAAATGGTTAGAGACAAGACAGATAGGACCGAATGGGGTCTGTCAACTACTGCTTGACATGTGAAGTGGAAAGGCACTGGGTGTCCATTGGACACATGCAGACCATATATGCCAACAGAATTTGGGCATGAATTCAGTTGTTCTTATTTTACAGAATTGATGAATTATATGTGCATTAGTTTCTGCTAAACTAGCTACCATCAGAAAAAAAGAGTGGACTTAGACCATTGCAGGAATATGTACTCTGCCTGCTTTTAATATACAATGGATGTCTCAGTGACTCCAGAGCATCCATTATTTTGACAGATGCCTAGATTCAGCAATACATCATTCATCATTACTACAGCACTTATAAAGTTTCCTTTTTGCACAATACAACTCTACCCTAAAACAACCTAGTGCATTTGCATTCATGGCACCATTTTGTGTATTTGTATTTGGTCTATTTACTTTATTCCCCGATTAAACATAAATTGTTTCAAGCTTCAGCGGCTTTTGACTTAACTTTGACTTGGCAGTAACATCTGCACTTTGCTGTTAGGAGTTAAAGCCGACTTCCATCTGCAGTTTTGTGCTGTGTGTGTGAGTGTGTAGGGAGAGGCTGCAGTCTCTTTGATTTTATGCACATGCCTGCTTGTGTTTTGTTGTTATGCCATGTGCAATATGCATATTGGTGTCTGTGAGCAATGACAACATAGTTTGCTGATTTTCTATGACACACACACACACACACACACACACTCTCACACACACACTGTAACATGCACTCTGCCTTTGCTTAACGCATTTAGACACTGTTTGGTAGTGCTTGCCCTCACATACACACACACAAACTGAGTGATTTACTACTCTGACATAATGTGATGTGCCATAATAAGCAGCATAGAGTGAAAGTGGATATGCCTTGAACAGTATCCTTTTAGAGTATGCTGTCTTGCATTTAGTGCTCTATATCTCTTATATTTTGAGTCCCAGAACCAAAGTCAGGGTCTTGTTTCATCTTATACTTTGTGCTGCGGTTCAGATGTACAGCAACCTTTTGTTGAGTATAGTCGGTATGAACAGGCATTGCTTCATTTGTCAAGGAATTATTCAGAACCACTTTTCCTCAGCTCCCTTCATCTACTCTCCTGTGGAGGAAGATAACATGGGAAATCACATTTTCTCACCGTGACTTTATTGTGTGAGCACTGTTAAGGAAATAGTTCCTGTTGGTTCCCATGTTGAGTTTTCACATTGGGACATCTCTAAGATTGTACCTAAAGCAGTGCTGAACACTGTGATCAGATATGATTTTCTTTCTCCTGCACGCATAGCTTGACTGTGTATTATTAAAGACAGCAAGAGCTTAAAGGATGGGATGAGTATAAGAACATCTTAAGTTAAAGTGAGTGCTACAGAGAGGTTTACAGTACTATAGAGTTGTGTTTTGTGAAATGAAATACAGGAAAATGAATTTTCACCATTGACCATTACTAACACAATGCTGTTCATATATAAAACAATTACAACCTTCCAAATAACATAGCAACATAGCCAAAAGAACATATTCCAGCAATGAAAGCAAATATGTCGTAGAGAGAAACTGGGGTGTAATGCTCTTGCAGTCTCTTTCTCAGAGGATTCGAATTTTAGCATCAGAAGTAGTCAGATTAATCTATATGTATGTTTAGCATTGGCACAAAATATAATGTAACTAATAACATTTTTGGCATTCAACCCACTCTTTTTGTCAATACAGATTTTGAACTACATATCAGTCAGCCTGTCCTCACTACCAACTTGTAAAATATCAACACTTGGCAGTAGCCTTCGGCAACAGTTACCAACACACCTAGCCCCCTTAAGCTTCTGTATGCAAATGCAGCAGGCCATGTCATTATTTGATGCTCTGAACAACTGCCATAGTAAAGAGCAACAAAGTCGGAGTCAGGCTGGCAGAAGGGTTGGTGGATGGGTCAAACAAACACAGGACTTTCACCCAGGAGTCCAGTGCTTGTGGGACCTGGGTACAAAAACAAAAA